CTTCGACTGAACAAAGAGATGGTTAACCAGCTAACGTTCCTAGCTTAAATAGTTGATATGAAATAATAAGTCAGAAAATTGCACTTGAACTGACCAGAAACGGGTGAAGTTCAACCGTCTGACGGTTAACTCGCGGAACCTAACGTCTCCAACGTTCGTGGAAAAATGAACCGTTTGGTTTTGAGACCGACTGGAAAGCTTTAACGATCGCCCATGTGACGGCCGATGGATGGGTCTCTCAAGCGGACATCTGACCGAAGGAGGCCCCGACGATTGAACGAATCAGATCCCCATGCTTAAGTCATGCTTTCCCGGACAACTGACTCATCTACTTACAACGAATCTAACATATAAACGGTTTATTAACATAGAAACGATCTTAACAAAGTATAAAACTACTATCTAATTCTAAATTATGCAGCGTTTCGCCACCAGTCATGAAATAAATGTGATACAGCTCAAGTACAAAAAAAAAACAACGGTCGATTTAATAACGTATATAATAATACACATGAACTAGTGAAGAACATGGATTATTTATTTTTTCCATGATAGTACGTTACTGGTCAATTTAAGGTTTATGTGCCACTAACGTTTAATTTAACGGCAGCCAGTAGTGGTGACAGCGGGGATCGCCCTACTGTAACTGAAAGCACGTTAGCAGCCTAGTTAGCCCAACTAGCTTCGGTAGCCTTACCGATGACCTTCTTATCCCCCGCGGAAGCTGCGGCTGCCGGGCTGGATGGGCTCTCCGCATCCGCAGCGGGTTGCGGAGGCTGCTGTTGTGTCTCGGCCTCGCTGCTCATGTTCACTACTCGTTGGTAAAGGCTTCTGCCGGCGGCGGCTCTCTGCTATTTTCCCGGTGCTAGATGGTAACCTGGGCCGGCGGTGGTGGGGGGCTTACTGCCTTCGGGCTCTCAGCTTTCCTCTTTCCGCTCCCGTTGCCGATCGAACTGGGCAGAACGAGTAGCTGTGCAGGGGAATGTCCACCGTGGAGGTCCCGCCCTACTCCTCCTCTGATTGGCTGCAACGTGTGACGACAGATATAATATATTTCTAATTGGACGGTATTACTGTCATTAAAGGTTTCTTAAGAGGAGTTTGTACCTGCAAATTTTCAATTCACTACAGATATAAGTGATGCCAAATGTATGAGGTTTAAAAGGTGGCGTTATGCAGGACCGTTTGAGCCCATAAAAACAAGATTTTTGTAGTACACAATTTTTAGGGGGATTATTCTTTTTCACTAGGGAATCTCTGCAGCTCATCCAATAACCCTGCTGCTCATAATAAAATGAAGGTTAAGCGAGTCAGCAATTTTGTTGGTTTGTAACTTGGCCATACTATTTTTGTTGTTGAGCAAAGACGCAAGTATTCAATATCTAAAGTATTCACTCTTAGTGAAGGACCTATACACCCTGTTTGTAAAAAGGAGCGCTTCCGCAGGTCATTCAACCCACCAGACTATACAATATAGGTCCTTCTCAAAATATTAGAATATATAAAGTTCATTATTTTCCATAATGCAATAATGAAACTTGAACATTCATATATTTTAAATTCATTGCACAACAACAAAAATATTTCAGGTCTTTTATTGTCTTAATACAGTTGATTTTGGCATACAGCTCATGAAAACCCAAAATTCCTATCTCACAAAATTAGCACATTTCATCCGACCTATAAAATAAGTGTTCTTAATACAAAAAAATTCAACCTTCAAATAATTAAGTACAGTTATGAACTCAATACTTGGTTGGGAATCCTTTTGCAGAAATGACTACTTCAATGCGGCGTGGCATGGAGGCAATCAGCCTGTGGCACTGCTGAGGTGTTATGGAGGCCCACGATGCTTCGATAGCGGCCTTTAGCTCATCCACAGTGTTGGGTCTTGCGTGTCTCAACTTTCTCTTCACAATATCCCAGAGATTCTATCTGGGGTTCAGATCAGGAGAGTTGGCAGGCCAACTGAGCACAGTGATACCATGGTCAGTAAACCATTTCCCAATGTTTTTGGAACTGTGATCAGGTGCCAGGTTGTGCTGAAAAATGAAATCCTTATCACCATAAAGTTTTTCAGCAGATGGAATGAAGTGCTCCAAAATCTCCTGATAGCTAGCTGCATTGACCCTGCCCTTGATAAAACATAGTGGACCAACACCAGCAGCTGTTATGGCACCCCAGACCATCACTGACTGTGGGTACTTGACACTGGACTTCTGGCATTTTGGCATATCCTTCTCCCCAGTCTTCCTCCAGACTCTGGCACCTTGATTTCCAAATGACATGCAAAACTGAGCAACAGTCCAGTACTGCGTCTCTGTAGCCCATGCCAGGTCTGGTTCAAAAGTGGCTTGACCTGGGGAATGCGGCACCTGTAGCCCATTTCCTGTACACACCTGTGCACGGTGGCTCTGGATTTTTCTACTCCGGAATCGGCCCTTCTCCACAATCTTCCTCAGGGTCTGGTCACCTCTTCTCGTTGTGTAACGTTTTCTGCCACACTTTTTCCTGCCCACAGACTTCCTACTGAGGTGCCTTGATACAGCACTCTGGGAACAGCCTATTCATTCAGAAATATCTCTCTGTGTCGTCCCCTCTTGCTTGAGGGCGTCAATGATGGCCTTCTGGACAGCAGTCAGGTCAGCAGTCTTACCCATGATTGGGGTTTTGAGTGATGAACCAGGCTGGGGAGTTTAAAAGGCCTCAGGAATCTTTTGCAGGTGTTTAGAGTTAATTTGTTGAGTCAGATGATCAGGTGCATAGCTGGTTTAGAGACCTTTATCATGATATGCTAATTTTGTGAGATAGGAATTTGGGGTTTTTATGAGCTCTATGTCAAAATCATTTGTATTAAGACAATAAAAGACCTGAAATATTTCAGTTAGTGTGTAATGAATCTAAAATATATGAATGTTCAAGTTTTATCATTACATTATGGAAAATAATGACTTTATCACAAGATGCTAATATTTTGAGGACCTGTACAACACTACAACGGCAATGTATAATGTGCAATTACTATCTAATACCCTCCACAATAACCTGTTTTTTTATATTTGATACCCAGTGCAATAACTATATAGATAAATACCCATCTATAAAAAATACCCATGTAAATACCCTGTGCAATAACTCTGTACAATAATCCTGCTTTAAAAAAAAAAAGATTTTATATATATATATATATATATATATATATATATATATATATATATATATATATATATATATATATATATATATACGCACTGTATATACTGTATATACCCCATGCACCTTTTCTTCCTTTGGCACCTTATTCTTCCTTTTGACTATCTGAGATGATGTAATGAATATATTTTACCACTGTGAGATCAATAAAGTCAATAAATCAAGCAATATTTGATCAGCCAACTCTGCTTTATACTTCTAAAAGCCCATTTAAAGCTGCAGTATGTCATCTCCTGGCTATTAAAGAGTCATACCTTTGTAACAAGTGACAATGAGCAGATAGAAAGCATCAACAACACATATTCAACTTAATGACAGATTCTTATCCAGATCAATTTTTTAAATTCTACTTAGTCTGATCTTGGCTGTAGGTAGTTTTTTTATTTATTTATTTTTTGCATGAAATTATGTTTACCATGATTCCAAAACACAGCAACAGGCAGAAGAGGTTGTCACATCTACTCAAATGCCATATGTGCATGGTTCTTTGCTCGCCTGCTTTAAGGCTCCTCTGCATCGTGTTCCTGTCCTTTATGATGCCAATGGTTCTCCTTTCTCTGGAGGTCTTCTCAAAACAGGTGTATTTATACTAGGATTTAATTAATAAGATCTAGACTATAATTTATCAACCATAATTTTTTTTAAGTAATTATATTTGAAGTAATGTTTTAATGTCAGAATGGCACGTGACTTAATTTTCTGCTCAGAACAGTACAATCCATGAAAAGCATCCATCTTGAGTTAGGTTAACTTTCCCTCTTCTACTGATGAGAGCACAGACCCCCTCCTCCCAAACATTGTCATGGTAATTAAAGCTCCACTGGCACCGATTAGAAGCACAGGCAGACGTGTGAAACACTTGCCAAGCTCTGCTCTCCCACACACACAAATGAGTCTCAAAAAGCCTCCCCATGGAGAAAACCTCTTTTCAAAAAAAAAAAATAGACGACCCTCTTCCTGCCTCCATAAGAAGAGAGTCTTCTCCATCTGAAAGGATTCTTTTATGCTAAGAGAATGATGCTCAAGGGGAGGACCGATGGGGGAGGGGGGCTGGAAGCTTGGATTGGGCTGGCATAGAAGGGGAAGCCATAAGTTCAGCAGAGGATTGCTTGGCACCAAAGAGGGTGCCCTATTTACTCCATGGATAAGGTTGACATTAATCCTGCGTCCCCTCACAGAACAACTTTACACCTCTGTGCATTTCCTTAGCATTTCAGCAGAGATCAAGTAAGCAATCCAATGTAAAGCACTACTGCTCTGCACACTCTGTTTAAATCCCTGCTGTTACATGAAAAAAATAAATAAAACAATTATTTTTCTTGTGTTGTAAACTTTTCCATGATTTGATACAATGTTTTGCTGTCTTCTAATCTGCCCAGGGAACTTTTTATATTTAGACAAAATAGGTATCGATTCTTTAACAATATTGTCCAAAGTCCAGCTCTTCAATAACTCGGTTTAATTTGACTCTTTTCCAAAGCCAGTTATAAAAACACGACATTCCATTCTCTATACGGAGGATTTAAGTGTTTTTGTTTGTTTTCTTTGGAACAAAAAAAGAAGAGAACCTGATTGAACATACATATTCCAAAAAGAAGTTTATTGCATTTGATATATGACAAAAAGCAAAAGGAAGTCTCACAAAATGTATTATAAAATGAAAAACACTGAGTGACAGTTAGAAAAACTCATATGATGTGAGCAGTTTTTCCTCAACAACCTGGAGGTGTTCATGGAAACAACATGTTTGCCATTTCCAATCAACCGATGTAGAGGTTTCTCTTTTCTGATGCAACTGACAAAACTGGTTGGATCACATTTCTCCACACTGAGCGATGACGATGGGCAGCTTGGGTTTGTTGTTGGGTCCTGTGGGCACATTCTGTTCAAGGTGAGAGGGATACGCTTTCATTAAATATAAATTCATAAAGCAAAGTCTAGGAAGAATTTGTGCCTCAGAATAAAAAAAATCAATTCAATATCACCCATACAAGAAGTACAATTAAAAAAAGCAGACGTCACTATCCTGTTTATTTGAAAGGTTAGTCCTATAGTGCCCATTGTTTTGTATAAAATGGAGCAGCATACTCATTAAATAATTTGTAGCAGCCATTGGTAATTCCTAAAGAAGCGTCATTTTACACACCTTCACAATCTGCTCCTAATTTACCGTAAACATTATGGTTACTTTTTTACATGTCTGCAAGAGGGGATTTATTTTTATACGGGAAATAATCTATGATATCATATTAGAGTCATCTAGCCCAATTTGGATAACAAACAAACACATAGAAAGGAGTATGTTCACATAACAATACATCACTGTTTCCAACAACCTCAATAAGTTGTTATACTGATGCTGTTTTTTGCACAGCTTCTGTCTTATTCAGTTAAATAACATGCTGTTGTCATTGTTTTGCACATTTCTGGTGTTGCTACTATTTTTCACATATCCATTACTGTAAAAATGTCCACAGCTATTATTGATTTTTTTTAATTTTGCAGAAGCAGAGTATTTATAGTGGGAAAAACACTGTAAAGTACCACACTCTGTTTTATTTTTCCTATCTGTTATTCTTATACACTGTGACCACTTCTACGATAACCTTTGTTGCTGTAACACCACAATTTCCCCCAGTGTGGAAAACAAAGGGAACTATTCGATTCTATCACAGAAACAAAGCAAATGCACAAAGCAATTTTTCACATTTAGAAGTCAGTGGCTAGTTTACAGTGCGTAATTATTAAACTTGACATTGCATAGTTTCTATTATGCAGAAGGTCATAAGGTTACAAGATGTTTTGAAAGTAGTAAAACACAATAACATATCGACTACTCTTGATGGAGGGGTCAGACAGTCAACAGTCAACAGTGATGTCAAATCATCCATGTAAACATTAAACAGAGCTGGAGAAAGAATTCCACCTTGTCTGACACTATCAGAAACACGAAAATGCTTCTAATAGCCTTTTCCTAAATCCTAAATCATTATCACTTGTTAAGAACAACTTTTCCAATCTAGTCAACAAAATAGCAGGGCTGAAACAATTAATCAAAAACTGGAATAACCGCTAACTAATCAGGAAAAAATAATCGACGGATAATCAATTAGCAAAATGATTGTTAGTTGCAGCCCTACAAAATAGACACATACTTAAAGAATGCTGGCAAGGACAACTGGCCTGTAGTTTTGTACGCTGTTAAGTGGCCTTGGCTTTAATGACAAAAACCCAGTAACACCCATTTACAGTCATGGCCAAAAGTTTTGAGAATGATTCAAATGTTAATATTTACAAAGTCTCCCGCTTCAGATTTTATAACGGCAATTTGCATATACTCCAGAACGTTATAAAGAGTGATCAACGTAACAACTATTAATTGCAAAGTCAATATTTGCCTAGAAAATGAATTTTTTCCCCCAAAACCCATTTCAACATCATTGCAGCCCTGCCTTAAAAGGACCAGCTAACATCGTTTCAGTGATTTCTCCATTAACACAGGTGTGGTTGGTGATGAGGACAGGGCTGGAGATCAATCTGTCATGATTAAGAAAGAATGACACCACTGGACACTTTAAAAAGAGGCTGATGCTTGGCATCATCATTTCTCTTCTGTGAACCATGGTTATCTCTAAAGAAACATGTGCAGTCATCATTGCACTGCATAAAAATGGCCTAACAGGAAAGAGAATCGCAGCTAGAAAGATTGCACCTCAGACAACAATCTATCGCATCATCAAGAACTTCAAGGAGAGAGGTTCCATTGTTGCCAAAAAGGCTCCAGGGCGCCCAAGAAAGACCAGCATGCACCAGGACCATCTCTTAAAAGTGTTTCAGCTGCGGGATCGGGCTACCAGCAGTGCAGAGCTTGCCTAGGAATGGCAGCAGGCAGGTGTGAGTGCATCTGCACACACTGTGAAGCGGAGAAGACGAGGTGAGTGCTACCACCAGTCTTGTTTCATGCCAACTGTAAAGCATCCTGAAACCATTCATGTGTGGGGTTGCTTCTCAGCCCAGAAAGTCGGCTCTCTCACAGTCTTACCTAAAAACACAGCCATGAATAAAGAATGGTACCAGAATGTCCTCAGAGAGCAACATCTCCCAACCATCCAAGAGCAGTTTGGTGATGAACAATGCCTTTTCCAGCATGATAGAGAGATTTTGGGTCCATGGCCTGGAAACTCCCCTGATCTTAATCCCATTGAAAACTTGTGGTCAATCATCAAGAGATGAGTGGACAAACGAAAACCTAGGAATTCTGACAAAATGCAAGCACTGATTGTGCAAGAATGGACTGCTGTCAGTCAGGATTTGGTCCAGAAGTTGATTGAGAGCATGCCAGGGAGAATTGCAGAGGTCCTGAAGAAGAGGGGTCAACACTGCAAATATTGACTTGCTGCACTAACTCATTCTGTCATTAAAAGCTTTCGTTACTCATAATATGATTGCAATTGTATTTCTGTATGTGACGACAATATGTTACATACACACATGAAAACCAGAGGGCAGCAGATCATGTGAAAATATAATATCTGTGTCATTCTCAATACTTTTGGCCATGACTGCAGATCAGCTGATATAATCTGCAGCCGAAGAGTTTCAAATGCTCAGATGTTACGCTGTCCAGCCCACAAGCTGTGTTGTTTCTAAGCTATAAGATGGCATCAGAGATATTACTGACACGGACCAACAAGCCCCCTACTAATGAAAAGATGTTTCTCATTTTTTATTGTGGGTGTCAATTAAAAAAAAAATAAATGAAAAAAATAAATGAACTAATGATACATGCATTTACATTACATTGGGGGAAATGAGCACTATTGTTCTTTGTAAAACAGTTTAATTTCATTCAAACCAGTCTTTCAAGAAAAAAAAAATCAAAATGATAATACCAAGAGGTGCAAATTAAAAAAGCTGTTTAGTGATGTTTTACCTCAATTTTCCTCATAATCAGTAGACCATCCACCACTTTTCCTAAATATAAAGAAGAACCTGATATCAGTTTGACTGGAATCATTTTACAGCTTTTCCAAAAAAAAAAACATGAGCCCATTTCTCTAAAAACATAAATTCTCAGGATTCACTCACCAAAAACAACATGCTTCCCATCCAACCAGTCACATTTAGTGCAGGTAATGAAAAACTGGCATCCATTTGTTCCTGGTCCACTGTTTGCCTGCATTTCAAATAAGAAGCATTAATGAACTGCTTGTGATTAGCTTTTCTTTGGAAAAACAAAATGGAATCATCGTCACACGTACCATGGATAGAAGTCCAGGAGCAGAATGCTTCATTTTGAAGTTTTCATCTGCAAATGGACCTCTGTAGATGCTGCAGATTCCAGTACCATCACCCTTTCACAAAAGACAAACTGACGCTACTACAGGTGCTATAGCCAATCAGAACTCTCACATCATACATTTATGTGCTATTTATATTTATTCTATATCTGTACATACACCATATTTATTTACAAATCTCTGAACTTTACACTAACATCAACACTGTATTCATATTCCTCATATTTTTCTTAGAATAAAATTTTATCCACTCTCTCTTTGCACTGATATTGGTGACTTTAAATCTCCTAGTGTTGCACATAATGGCAAGAAAATCATTCCAATTCTAATTCTCTGATGTCTCTCAGATTACACAGGAACATGTACTTCAGGTTATAACCACAAGAGGGAGAAAGAAGCATTTCTTATCCAATGTTTTCAGATAATGTCTCAGTTTCAGGACTATAATGAGACACACAAACATATAATTAAGTATCCACAACTTTGCTAGAAATTAATCTGACATAAAAGTTACAACTTTCATAGTTTGGTGTGCTTTTTTTTGGCAAAAAGGTTTAAAAGGACTGAACAGAAAATCTGAATATGTTGATTCAAAAATAATTTATAGTCTACTAAATATTACAACATTTTTCAAGGTGGATTGTACGAAAAGAAGGGAGAAGTTGTATTTGGATTTATAATAGATTTTACATTGAAGATAAATACAGTGGAAAACAAAACTAAAAAAAGAGTAGACTTAAGTGATTGGCAAGCATGCAAGCAATCACAAATAAAAGCATATAAATAGCCGAAATGCTTGCAGGAAATTAGAAAGGTGTTGCTGTACTTACATTTACAAAGTCTCCACCTTGAATCATGAAGTCTTTAATCACCCTGTGAATGAAAAGAATAAATAAGACACGTCAACTATTTGCCGTTGGCAAGCCCAGAAAAACCACAAACTGAAGTTTTTGAAGTTTTTCAAGAGGCCTCATCCATCAGATGCAACACAACAGGTGAGGCCTGTTGCGTTGATGGTTGAATAAACTAAGTTTTGTCAGTGAACTCAGCTCGTCTGCTTCTAACAACCCAGAGTAGCAGACAAAGCCCAAACACCACGATCCATCCCACATTCTATCCAAGCATCCTAATGAGCAAGAAACAAAGAAAACTATAGTGACCAGTACAGCTTTTTCCCCCTTATTTTTTTTTTTGAAGGGCAACACGAATCAGAATCCATTCCTGACTATGGCTGAGACAAATAATCTGAGTAATCACTTACTGAAATAATCCTCAACTTAGTAATCAGTTACTGTTAACAAAACACAATGCAAATTTATCTCTTACTTTCTGTATATATGCTCAATATACAATTCATCAAGTGGCAAACCTTTAGAAGTTGCTCCCCCTAAAAACTATTTAGCACTTTTGCTAATTAGAAAAAACAAACATTGAAGGATTCCCAAACCCAACACTGTTTTCCGCACCATGTTATGTTGTCCATAACCACGAAGAAGAACTGGTTCTCGTTACACAAGCAGCCTCCTCTAGATTTCCAGCAGGTTAAACAGGGAATTGCATTGATAGTTCCAGGTAATAAAGAACACACAGAGTCCATTCAGTTAGCTCTGAGCCTGAGGATATACTCTGTGTAGGATTTGACTAAACCCATTTCAAGTGAGGCACTTCAGCTGGATCCATTAAAATCATAGCGGTAGCAGGTCTAGTTTTAGACAGTATCTTGATCTTGGCTCAAATACTTGTGCTTGACTTCAAAGTAAAGTCTCTAAAGACCAAACTAAAAAATCAATAAATCGAATTTCAAACTTTTAGGTCATCTCTAAACCTGCATCAGTACAGGTTAAGATTCTTAACCTGATTTTAATATTAATTTTCACAGTTATCTTCTGTTCAGTTCTCTATAAACGCCACACTCAGGATTGGCTTTGCTTTGATATAACTGGAGCCTTCTTTAGGACCACCAAGCACAAATGGAGTGGAAAATCAACTGGTCTGTTCCCGTCCAGTGAAACCAGAGCCATAACCCTGGGTTTACGGTTCCTCTTCAATCTCATCTTCAGATCTCCGT